CCCCAAAACCCCAAAACCCCAAAACCCCATCATGCTGAAATGCAAGAGATTTCTGAGTGAAATAATAAATTTGCAAACCATTAATAAAAATGAGAAAGAAGGGCTTAGTTTATCGAGCTACAATGATTTTAGGAGTTTCTATTATATTTGTGCAATTTGGAGGAGAACTGGTATATTAGAAATACTTCAAAAAGGATAGGGAGTTTCAGATGTAGACAGAATAATAGGTTGAAGAGAGAAAGAATAAATTTAGTGAAGAAGATAAACTAAACGAAGATATCAATAAAGATATTGCAAAGAACAAAAAAGGGGTGTTAGGTAGTTGGAGTGAAGCCAGATAAAAGAGACTAGAAAAAATAAAGCAATCTAAGGAAAGACCATCAGCTCCATTACTTGAAGAATTAAAGGAGAAACCTGGATATAAAGAAATAAAAACGAGAAAGCTAGTTTAGAGAGATCCAGAGCTTAATAATGCAAGAGAAGCTGCTAAAGATGATTACATTTGAGTTTTAAATTCCTCTAATCTTAATTTTATAAATTATTAAAATTACTATAATAATCATCAACATGGAAAATTTTATAGAGGACACTGAAGAGTAGCAATTGGTTGACCTGTTTGATGAGGAGGTAGACTATGCAGAGCACAAAGCTAGAGAACATTAAAGACAGCTGCTTCAAAAGAGACCTCACCCATCACTTAGTAGTAACAATGATAAATCTGATGAAGTTCATTATGAGCCATAGAAAAAAAGACTAAAAATCTTTAATGCTAAGGAATTTCAATAATAGCATGATCATATGTACCTTTAAAATCTACCCTTAGCGGATATGTATGAGAGATCTTATATGCACAAAGAGAATATCTGCAATGGTAAAATAATAATTGCAGTCTAACTTTATTTATAGTCATCGTATCAAATAAGTACGAGTACATATTCACAATGTCTGTAGATGGGTTCCTGAAGTTTTGGAAAAAGATCTAAGGAGGCATTGAATTTGTAAAGACCTTTAGAGCACATCTCGGAAAGATCACTGGGTGCTCCTTATCAAGCAATGAGACTAGACTAGCCACAGTATCTGGCAAGGACTGCTCTCTAAAGATGTTTGATGTAGTGAACTTTGATCTCATGCATATGATTAAGCTTAAATTTATCCCTGACTGCTGTGAGTTTATCAATAAAAAGACCAGCTATTCATCTATCATAGCAATTGCTGAGTAATAACTTTCAATTTTAATTATCTACAATTTAGATATAATGTTCCTAAGATATATGTCGTAAAGGCAGAAACTGCTGAGGGATAAGTCATCAAAGTGATAAAAGACATTCATTATAGTCCTATTAGATCAATGAAGTTTTGTCACGACTTGGATATTGTGATATCAACTGATGAAAATGGCATAATTGAGTACTGGGACCCAGAAACCTATGGTAAGTTATAGTCAATATTGAAAATAATGTTAGAATTTCCAAATGATAACAAGAATATAAAGTTTGAGCTAGTATCAGACACAGATCTATTAGAGCTAGTAAAGCAGAAGACGTGTGCTTTGAGTTTAGCTTTAAGTAGTGATGAGCAGAGAATAGCTATTTATTGCAAGAATAGGCAGATAAAGGTATTTGAAATAGGAAGTGGTAAATTAATTTTGACGATTGATGAATCTCTTAACAAGTATATCGAAGACTAATCATCTAATAAATCAAAATTAGAGCTCCTTTATCTGGACAAATTAGATTTTGAAAGAAGGCTAGCTGTTGAAAAGGATATTGATAAATAATGGGAATATAAGGCAAGAGATCATACTAATTAATTGAGTGTTCTACCCTCTATTTATTTCGATGAAACTGATACATTCTTGTATTTTGGCTCGCTTATGGGAATCAAAATTTTCAATGTTAAGTCTTAGAAGCTTGCTAGAATAGTAGGCAAGGTTGAAAATACTGAGAGATTCCTTTAAATAGGATGTTATCAAGGAAAGCCTACTAGAATGATGAATATTGTGGGGTAGGTTAATTCTGGATATGGAGGTAAATCTGCTTAGGAAAAGGAAAAGGATCCCACTTTTGTTTGTTCTGCATTCAAAAAAAATAGATTCTACTTATTCACACAGAGAGAACCAGAGGATGTTGAGACCTAGCCCTAGACTAGTGCTTAGTAGTCATTGCCAAATTAAGGCATGAATCAAGGAAGAGATGTGTTCAATGAGAAAGTTGGTAAAGATGCAATAGATGAAGCTAATGCAGCTGGTTCATCCCGAGGAGGAAGCAAGTAACTACCAGAAAAGGTTATTATTTATACATCATTTGGAGAGTTGCATTGCTAGCTATATCCAAATCAATGTCCAAAGACTATCGAAAACTTCACATAATTGGCTAAGACAGGCTATTATAATAATGTGATTTTCCACAGAGTCATTAAAAGCTTTATGCTTCAGACAGGAGATCCAGATGGTGATGGCACTGGAGGTGAATCCATTTGGGGATATGAATTTGAAGATGAGATCTGTGAGGAGTTAAATCATAGTCAACCCTTCATGCTCTCAATGGCAAATCATGGTCCCAATACTAATGGCAGTTAATTCTTTATAACAGTAGTTCCTTGCCCTTGGTTAGATGGAAAGCACACAGTATTTGGCAGAGTTACAAGAGGAATGGATATCGCTTAGTAGATAGAACAAACAAGGACTGATGATAAAGACAAACCTCTCATGGACATCAAGATTCAAACAGTAAAAGTCTTTGATCCAACTCACCCTCTTAACGATGCTCAAAAGTGAATCTTCAAATATAAGTTTGGAATGACTTGAGTCCTAATCTAATTAATTAGTTAAAGATTTATATTCATAATAATTTGCATTGATTAAGTATAAAGAATAGATATTAATAAAAAAGATAAATTGGTAAAAGGCAAAAGATAGTGCGCCTGCCGGGAATTGAACCCGGGTCGCATCGATGGCAACGATGCATTCTACCACTGAACCACAAGCGCCTACATGTCTATCCTCTCTCTATAACTCTATTTAAAAGTCAAAATATAAGAGTTCTTGAGAAAGATTTAGGTTGATAAGGGATGGGTAAAAACACGTTTACAAAAATGAAATTAACAATTTAGTTAAACTAAAGATTAACTTATGGGCTAATTAGATCAAATTAAGACTTTGATATGAAGTGATTAGCTAATATACAAGAACAATATTAGTAAATATACTATTGAGAATGAAGGATGCTTGCATTAGCAATTATTAATTAGAATTATGGGAGTTAATTTTCTTTCAGGAGGTCTTCTCTATATTTATATTTCAAGCATTCTTTATAATTTACGAATTATCATATGATTTCATCAACTATTAATGGATTATTAAATTGCATCATTTATTGTTACTCACGTATCATCGTCTCCTTCCTCACTAGCCTCTATCAAGCTATTACCCTAACTTTCTTCGATTGCACTACCGTCCATTAATAAACTATTTCCTGACATCTTCATGCTCATTTACCTATAATTATTCCTTACATCACCATCATTTACAGTTAAGTAGCTTAAAGCTTTGTCTGTAATAGAAATACTCTTTAACTATTCATAAAGCTCCTATATATTTGATCAAACTCTGACTATGTTACATCTGCTAGAATGCCAATCCTTGAACACTAGTAGCCATTCTGGCTGTTTGCCTCTAGCTATTCAAAATTGAATGAGCCAGCTTGAATGTTTTTCTTGCGTTAAAATTCATTTTAAGGTTAAAAATAATTAATAATTTTTAATTAAAATTTAAAGCAAATCACTTGAGCCAACTTCCAAATTCAAATTAAATTAAATTAACAATTAAAAATGAGTCTTGGGCCCTAAGATGAAAGAACTAATATGCTAAAAACTATATAATCATAGAAGTTTAGTAAGTCATATTCATTGAAATAAAGAATTGTTTAGATAACCCAGGAGGGTATGACGCCTCTAGTATGTATAAAAGTGGAATGAATTTACGAGGATCTTATCAATAATAGTTTTAAAGCCAACAAGAAAATAGATTTCCATATTCTCTCAATAGAGCAAATATGCCGATAGGTGCGAGTTTGCCAATTAATAGCGGAGTGCCTTTATAGGTATCATCTGGTTTGACCTCATATTAGCAAGCAAAATACACTGAGGAAATAAAAAATCTGAAACAAATAAGTATGAATATTATAGACAAATATAGTTTAATCTGATTATAGTTGAGAAAATGAGTTCAAAGTTGAGAGATTATCAGCTTCAACTGCATTTGCCAGATTCTGACTTTCAGAACCTGTTTATTCCAGATCCAAGCTAGGCAAATGACTTTGCCTACAATCATGATTTAGCAGGGATATTGTCATCTCATCTATTAAGTCCTTTATTCCTTGAATATGAATCAACAATCAGAAATTTAGAGAGGGAACTCAAGAATAGAAATATGGACACAACTAGATAAGCAGAGGAAATACAAATTTTACTAAGAGAAAATGAGGAACTCAGTTAAAGATTAGAGGTGTAGCAAAGAGAATATCTAAAGATCGTCGAGGAAACACGAGATAATGCTGATCTGCTGGCAATGAGAACAGGTTCCCTCAAGAATAATGATGATCCAGGAAAGTAATCAATAAACGTAGATGAGGTTAAAGATCTGAGAAACAGAGTGCACTTGCTCACAGAGGAAAACCATGTCTTATTTGAATAAGTGACATTACTAAGATCTCACTATGATAAGTACAATGAAGAAGTTACAAGTAAAATCACAAATGCTGATGTTAAATCGCAAGCATACGATTTTCTCCAAAATGAGTTCTAGCAAGTTGCTGGAGAGAGAGATGAATTAGTCAAGGCGAGAACATACTTAGAATAGAAATTGACTGAGACTTCTCATTTGCTTGCAATAGTAGAGGAGGAAAGAAAGAATGATTAATAAGAAATTCAAAGAATGAGGGAATAACTCGTAATATTCTAGAGAGAATATACATTTTACAAAGATCACAGTGAGAGAATGGAAATGAAAGGGTCAGATGAAGTAGAGCAGCTACAAAAGAGCATGAGAGAGTTGATAGAAAGAGAAAAAGACTGGCAGCTTAAGGCTTCGGAGCTTGAGAGAGAAAACCACGAACTCCAAGCATTTAGTAGGCAACTTTAAGTTGAAATATAAGCTCAAAAAAGGGATCTTAAGCAGATAATGGCAATAAATGATCAATTTTAGCTCTAAGCTTAATAATTTAAAGACAGAGAACTTTAATTTAATGAGCTTTCTAGAGAGTACAGGGAAAAGCTAGAGGAACTTAAGTTTGAAAGGGAAAGACTTGCAATGAAAGAAGAATAGTTTCTTAGATAAGTTCATAAATTAGAATCCACTTAGAAGAGTGATGCCAAAAGACTATAAGAAAAATATGAAACTATGATGTTGGCAAGATAAAGAGAGAATGAAAGAGCTATCTAGGAATTGGAAGAAAAATTGAGCAGAGCTTAAGATGAGAGTGATGAATATCGTAGGAAAGCAGATCGAATTGAAAAGCAATCCTGGGAGTTTAAGCGTTAACTTGATGATAACTCAAAGAAAGAGACCAAATAAGTTCAATAATTTGAAAAAGTTATTGAGCAACTCAAAAATGAAATCAAAGAACGAGAGAGGGATCTTAATAATTTTGAACTTAAAGAAGGGTATGAGAAGCAGACTCTCCAGCGAGACGTTAAGGATCTAAAAGAATCGGTATTGAATCTAACGGAATAACTTTCCAAAGCATAGAAAGAACTTGAAACTCACCAAAGAGATCTTTAGAGACTAAGAGACGAAAATGCACTTTTAAAGGCCACCGTTACAGAAGCTGATAAAAGTAGAGAATTGATAGTCAGAGAAATGACTCATGTAAAGGACATTGAACAAGATAAGATTAAAAGCATAGAGTCGAAGAAGGATGCTGAGATTAAGATGCAGGAAAAGCTCATTGAGGGATTTAAGAGAGATAAAAGAGAACTCGAGGAGCGAATAGAAGATTTATTGGCAAAATAGGAATATCTTAATAGCAAAAATGTAGAGGAACATCATAATACAGTCCAATATTTCGAAAACTTGGTCTCTCAATATAAAATATAGTTACAAAGGTTCAATTATCCGTAAGTACTATTATTTGACATTAACTCATGTAGGGAGAGGGACGCCATCAGGTTAGAATAGAATAATAATTATTAGTGATGAAGTTTTATTAATTCAAATCAGTATCAGATATATTTTAAATACATATTTATACATATATATCATCAGTTTGATTCTACAGATTAGCTTAGATCCGGACGTTCTCCTTCTTATACTATTTCTTGATATTTTCTCTCCGTACGGCTCTTGTTTTTAGATTAAAGGGGAGTACCAACTGTAGCACAATTGATGACGATACTGACTAATAATAAAACAGCTAACAGGGAGTCTAAGGCAATGCCGACTCCGCAGTTTGAGATTTATAGGCTTAAAGAACTGACTGATTCTCTATAGATGAGGTTAGTTAAGATTTGATAAACTTACTTATCTTCGGGCTTGTATTGAAATCTATCGTGAAGCTTATCCATTTCTCTTTTGCAGAAAGCTTGCATGGTGATAAGAATGGCAAGAGCTAATCCCTACAAGAAAATGTTATGACGTATCATTGACTTACCTTTGTCAATATGACAAAGACGGTGTTTAAGAGTAAGCTGCTCACGTCTTGCTTCTCAACTTGTGTTGCTTCGAATTGGTAGTATACGAATCTCTTCTTTATTCCATCCCATATTGGCCAGTTGTAAATATAGTAGAGTGCCACAACTGCATCGAATATGAAAATGAAGATTTGAAGATTCAGCAGGGGTGGAAGCAATATCTCCTTCAGGTTAAGCATTGCCTTTGGAGAGGATGCGATGTCCAAGTCATAGGTGCTCTTTACGTAGCCTACTAAGACAACCAAAGCAGCGGTTGAGATAGCAAGCACTAAAATATTGTAGATAGACTTGATTAGGAGAAGCATTTTTATTCTATTGATAATATTATTTTATATTACTAAATAATATAAGCGTATCCCATACTTACCTCATCACAGAGTAATAATTTCCTATTCATGGGGTTTTGGGGTTTTGGGGTTTTGGGG